TGACAGAGGAGACTTGAGTCCGCCCATCATTTGATCCAGATTCATGCTACCCACAATTATGTAAAAGAGGTCTAAGAGAACAAGGTTGCTTCTAATTCGTGTAAAGATGCTGAATTAGAAAAACTGCTGACCCTCTCCCAGAATACTAGCCTGGGAGAAGTAATATGAGAAAAATGGAGAGAACTATGAGAAACTCCTGGGGTGACCAGCACCCATTTTGAAACGGGATATGTGGAATGGTGGCTTTGGCCTAAGACAAGAGGCAGCCCAGCAACACTGTGAGATGACAAGCCAGAACAAGAACTCCTGACGGCCTGTCTCACTTCTCTTGTGTCCCAGCACCCATGTGCACACAATCTGGACTCACATGTGCGTTACTCAGACATCTGGTCTCGGGTACTCCGGGAAATAATCAGGAGCTGAGAAAAACAGTTCAATATGCACAAGCCTTCCCCCTCCACTCCTCCAGCCCATACCCAGGACTAAGCAACTACAGTCTGAGGACCTTCTTCCTCTTAAACCAGCTTAAGAGAATGTCGTGTGGGGTGAGAAGGGACTGCCCGAGCTTGCTGATGCCTGGAGGTCGCTAACTCTTGCACCTGCTATCAATGCAACTGATAGAAATCTGACCTTCCCCACACAAGCAGTGTCTGATGAAACAAAATATCAAGTTCCAAAAGAGTAAGTATAAAACAACATACAAAATATCAAGTACCAAAAGAGTAACTATAAAGGACATGTATCCTCTGCTCTGGTTACTGTAACAAAGTAACAAACCAGGATGTTCAAAGAGAAATGTCTTTCCCCACAGTTTTGGAGGCTGGAAGTTCAAGACGAGGGTGACAGCTTGGCCTCTAGTAAGGGCTCTCTTTCTGACTTCCAGAGAGCCACCTTCTCACTGTGCCCTCACATGGCGGGACGGAGGGACAGTACGCTTTCTGTTGTGTCTTATACAAAGGGCACGAATCCCACTGGAGCAAGGTCCCACCTTCATGACCCCTTTTAAAACTAATTATCACCCAAAGACCCCATCTTTTAATACCATTGCACTGGGGGCTAGTGCTTCAACATATGAATGTCGGGGAGACACAGACATTCAGTACCAACCACCATGTTTAAAAAAAAAAAAACTGAAATTTGATCCTAACATCATAGGACATGAAAAATCAACACCAGATGGATTAGGGCTTTACCAGTAAAACAATTTTTAAAAATTTAGTGAAAGAGAAGACACTCTTTAGGCTCAGAGGAAGGAAAGATTTCTTAAATAGGACACGATAATTTTGACTACATTCAAATAAAAATTATTGTTCATTTAAAAAATACCTTAAAGACAGTGAAAACACCAAGTTACAAACTGGAGGAAAGAAAGTGCCATACGTACAACTATGATGCACTATTACAAAGAACATATAAGGCAATAAATATGCTCTCACACTCACAAACTAGGGTCAGGAAACTGAGTGAAAGACAGTAAGGAGACATTCCATGGTACATATTACAAAAAATGTATGTTCAACATCACTGTGGAAATCAGGGACGTTCAAAAGATCACTTTTCTGAAAAAAACAGTAGAAGGTTTTGAAGTGGAAACACACACACTCACACAGAAGACTAGTGAATGACCTTCCCAGCTCATGGCTCCATTACCTTCCATTTTAAAAATGTTCAACTCTCTAAGTTGCAGAAAACTGATGGTAATGCAAATTATTCTTGTCTACAGAAAAGTAAATTTGTTATTTCCAGTGGAATTGCTACTGATAACTGTCTAGTAGACAGATCAGTTTTGTAACTGTTTGAAAAATCTATTACAGCATTCCTTTTCTGCATATAAATGAGCTCTTTGAATTTTCCTTTGAAATGGCTTTAACATCTTACCAGTTTCCTCATTAATTAATGAATTAAATAAAATAGATGACAAGTGTTCATTTTGTATGTGTAAGAGAGTTATATTATACCTTTTCTTAAAAATGACCCTGACATCACAATTAGAATTCAACATTACCCATTTATAATTTATTTTTAAAAATAATCTCAGCAAATGAGCAAAAAAAAAGGAGGTGGGACTTCCTCAACCTGAGGATACCACCACACTTAGTGAAAGAATGAAAACTTCCCCGTAAACTTAGAAAGGAGCTACCAATGTCTGCTCCGACCACTTCTATCTAACACTGTGCTGAAGGGTCTAGTCAGTACAATACAGCAAGGAAAAGACACCAGACGTACAGACTGATAGATGCGGAACTAGCAACACACATCAGAGATACAAGTGGAGTTCAGAAAGAAAAGAAGTTACCAGAATTCTAGAACTAGTAAAGGTCAATATGCAATATTCAGTTCTATTTTTATATACTAGTAGTGAGCAACTAAAAATAAAACCCTTTAAAATGCCATGATAATAGAATTAAAAAAAACAGTGCAAAATCTATATAATAAAAAATTAGAAATATGGCTCTGAGCAATGTAGGACAATCTAAATAAATGGAGAGAGATCCTGTTCATAGATTGTTAAAATGTCCACTCTCTTCAAATTAATCTATGGCTCTAACACAGCCAAGCACAACTGTGACACTCTTCTCATTAGGAAACAAAAAGCTGATCCTAAAACTTCCATAGAAAAGTGGACTCTAAACCTTACATAAAAATACAAAGGAACAGCTAAAACAAATCTTTACAAAGAAAAAAAACTGGAGGATTTACAATTTCTGTTTTCAAAACTTGTGAAAAAGTTACCTTAGTCAAGATAGTATAGTACTGGCAAAAAGAAAAAGATAATCGATGGAACAGAAGATAGAATTCAGACTTACAAACATACAGTCAACTGATTTTCGATAAAATCATCCAAGCAGTTCAATGAGGAAGAGGAAGCTCAGCAAACAGAGCAACAGTAACTGCATGCATAGAGAGGATGAGCTTCCACTGGAGTTACACTTCGTAAGAAGCGTTCATGTGGGTTAGACCACACACCTAAACACAAAAGCTAAAGCAATAAAGCTTCCAGAAAAAGACATCGGAAATTATCTTTGCAACCAGAGTAAAGGTTTCTGAAACAGGACTCAGGAGAAAATAGCTCATAAAAGAAAAAAAAGTTAATAAACTTGATTTTACAAAATTTACATTTTCTGCTCATTGAAAGGCATCATTAAGAAATGAACAGGTGGCACAAGCAGTTGGCATAATGGCTATTGTCGCTGGACTTCCATAGAGTCAACCACAGTTTGAGTCCTGGACCCCATGGTTTAAACTCACGCTGGGCGTGTGCATGTGCGTGCCCAAGATCCCGAGAGGAGAATGGAGGAGAAGTGAGTGCGGTATGGCCATCCCTCCTGGGGGGTGATTTCTTGCTTTCTGTCTCTGTCTTTCTGGCAAGTGCATGCATCCTATAGCAAAAGCCTCTTAAAAAAAAAAAAAAAAGAAGAAGAAGAAGAAATGAGTAGGCAAGACACAAACTAGGAAAAAATATCCACAATACGTGTATCTGACACAGGATTTACATCCAGTATGTTCAATAAACTCTTCTTAGTAGGTAGACAACCCAATTTTAAAAGTGGTAGAAATCACAACGGTGGTTTCCTTTGGTGAAGAGAAAGA